GATAAGACACTGATCATAGTGATGAAGATAAACTTACCCTCCTCCCTCATCTTGACGTACTTGCGGACAGCGATGTGCTTACGCCATGCCTTTTGGATGACCCGAGCGTACCCATTATACTTTCTCTCCCTCATCTCCTCCAACAGGAAGAGCTGCAGAGAGAAAAGTGAGTCCAAACATAGAAAAAGAGTCAGACCCTGAAGGACCTGGTGGACTGGTGGCCTCAGAAACCACAAGACCCAGAATGCCACTGTAGCACAAATAGAAAAACTCAAGGGACAAAGTCATGAATTTGCATCAGTTCCCTTTTGAATTTTGTTGTGGTGCAAAGTATCATAGATACTGTTGTATTTAAATAAATTCCACAGACCAAGAAAGAAATGATGATCCAGGAGACTCATGAGGTTCTGTTTCAGGAACACTGACATTAGACCTCGTTCAGACTTGTTATTAAAAGGCGTCCTGGGTGATCGGATCATAAGTGGTCAGTGCTAGACACAAGTGTAAACAACTACCAAGACGGAATGTTATCTGCTCACCTAACCACTTGCCGAGGCGGTCTGGGACACATTTGACCATGTATCTTTTGTAGTGTAAATGCTAATAGGTCCTGATGCGTCTCCGAGAAGGACATTGGGGGGGAAATACATCATCATTGAAGGATGTAATGCCTGCATTGGTGACAGCACACCAAAGCTCAAAAAGATAAAAAAATATATATATAATTGAAACGTCAGATACAAATCCAACAATGTGTTGTGAAAGCTTTCATAATACATCCATGTACACATCTGAGGCCTGTCATCTTCTTCTTCTTCTTGGGTTAAGGAGACTACTGCGGTTGTCTGGTAACAGACTGATGTAATGATTGTGCCCGTGGCCATTCAATATTTAAGCAGAGATGTCGAGCAGAGTAGCGAAATCTGAACACAAGTGCTCAGATGGACACTTGGAGATGCATGGATATTGACAGGTGTGAAGGGTGATGTGTCTTGGCTGTCCACTTGTGATCTAAACAGGGCCTTACTGTTGAAGGGAAATTTTACTATAACAGGAAAGTGGGATAAAAACTTTTCTGAACGTACCGACTCTGGAGCTTTGATGAACACTTTGGTCTTGCCCAGCTGGAACTGGTCTTGGTCCATGTTGACGGAGTTGAGGAGGTGCAGGACTCCCTTGCGCTCCTCGCCCCTCCACTGAGGCCAGGTCTCCTTGGTCAGGATGGCGTACCTGCAGCACACAATTCTCTGTTAGCATGTTTTCAGCAGCAGCAGCACAGCCAACAGGGTTTTACTGAGTTCGACCTCTGACCTCTGTAGGAACTTGCTGAAGACTCTGCGGTAAGCATATCCGGCTCGACGGACTCTGATGTTCTCTCGCAGGCCCAGGTATTCCACCTGATGTCTGACCCGGTTCTCCTCCCAGTCCCGGGAACGTTTGGTCTCATTGGGTTTGATGCAGCGTATGTAGTGAGGGGTGCACTTCATCAGGGTCTGGACCAGACTGTTAGCTTGCTTCTAAAAGGGCACAAGCAGGTTTACCTGTTGGCAGTACTACCTGTTCTACCGAGCAGCATTAGAGGCTGAGAACCTGCACATTTGAAAGTCTCACCTATAAATCTCATAAATTTCAGGAAACACCAGTAACATTTGCATGCTGTACATAAGCTGTAAAGTCTAAGGTAACACTAGATGTAGTGACAGTATAGTGTTATTGTACTAAACTGGAACCAGGCCCAAACTAGAACCAACTATCAAAAAGCCAGTCTGAACTGGATGTCCTGGAGGACCTCTCCTGTCTCCACCAGTCAATCATAAAGCAGTAGGTGCTCTTCTCTCTCTCACTTTGATCTTGCTGCTTGCGGTGGTCGGACGCCCTCTCTTCTCAGCCTCCAGGTTCTCAGGGAACAGAGCTCTGATGAATGGACTGACCACAAACATACACAGTCAGAAGGTCATCATGAAGTCATTACACATGCAATCAGGTCTGCACGCTCTCACACTCACTCTGATACTTGTGAGGACCCACTGTTCATGATTCATTCCTAAGGCCCTGAACCCTAACCTAAACCTGATTCTAAAAAGCCAAACTGTTTTCTGAGGTAGTGAGGAATGGATAACATGGGCTCACAGTATAGAAATGCTCTCACTAAAATGGTTTAACATTAAAAAATGGTCCTCACAAAGATATCATAATCCACACAGTACTTACAACTCGCTGCTCTGCATCAGCTCAATGATGTCACAGAACAACACGTCTCTGTTCCTCTCACAGAAACCGCTGACGTCATATGAGACCTGGACACGCGGAGAGGAAACGTTAATGACTGCCGACAGGTCAGACGGGTGAAAACCTGCACAGGTGTACATGTGTGGAGAGGAAACATTAATGACTGCCGGCAGGTCAGACAGGTGAAAACCTGCACAGGTGTACATGTGTAGTAGTAGTACCTTTCCAGCGTAATGGTGGATGATAAACCCTCTGTTCCAGCTGCTGAAGTGCTCGTGTGACCCGATCTGTCCCTGGAGTTTCTGTAGCAGAGTCTGATCTGCTCCCTCTCCTTTAGCATGCATCGTAGCACATACGTCATCCAGGACACTCATGATCCCAGGAGGATTCTGAGAAATGATCACAGAGAGATGATGAGGTGTTTTTAGGAAAACTCCTCTAAAATCTAGGTCAAATCAGCTGCAAAGCAAAACAAACGGTGCAGATTCAAAGTGTCTGATCAGACCTGAGTGTGTTTTGACCCTGTACTCTGACTGGCTGACTCACCACCTTGGACTCGATCAGGTCACAGACAACTTTATTGTTGAAATAATCAATGGGGGTCCATTTGATCCCCTCCTGAACATATTCCTCCTGCAGACACAGAACAACTGGTTCAACCTTCGTTTTCATGTTCAACACAGTGAAACATTTTATTTTGAAAACAGAAAAACAACTTGTAGCCAAGGAGCAAAGAAGAAGAATGGACACTGGAAGTAGAAGACATGAAAAGAACTGTGACACAAATAATCCAACGTTATAAATATGTCTTTCCATCTGATGGATTCAAATACTGAACCAAACCCCAGCTCAAATAAGTTGATCACAAAACGCTGAGTTAAGGTGTAACATGATGATGTCATGATGTGATGTCACAGTGCCTCACCTGTTCTGCCTTAAGTGTGAGTTCAATAAAAATCTGCTGCAGCTTCTCGTTGACAAAGTTAATACAGAACTGCTCGAAGCCGTTTTGCTGAAAGAAACAAAGAAGAAGTACTCAGTCAATATCATCTATCAAGCCAGTGAACAGCAAGGGAAACCCTGAACTGGACTCCACAGAAAAATCAATATGAAGAAACCGTGAGAACGTTAAAATAAAGCTGTGCACAAATTAAACCAAGGCTGAGCTCATGGACAAACTGGGAACTTTGATTTGCTGAGTCTGGCAGAGTTTTCTGATTTGTATAAACTTGGCTGTAATCCGTGCACACATATTTCACACCTACTGACCTTTATGTAAAACGTTTCCCTGGGTTTTCAGAGGGCTTAGCCGCACCCAGGTCAAGGGGCTTGTCGTCAGTGCTAATTTTAACACCTGAATTTCATTTCATTTTAGTCTCAAGTCTTTTGACAAAAGTGCATATTAGTTTCAGTCAAAATGTAGTCTTTTAATTTTTGTTAATTTTGGTCTAGTTTTGGTCATCAACTAAATTCATTTTAGTCCAGTTTTCATCGTTTTAACTGTGTTTTTAATATTTACTGTGGCTATATCTTCTTCGTCCGGGTTGTGTACGGTTATCATGTGTTGTTTCCATCTGTCGTGAAGTTTTTTCGAAACTGTGCTTTATTCCCACAGTGTCGCTCTACAGACGTCGGACTCCTCACACTTTGACTAAAATCCTCTTCACTGGGTTCAGAGGCGACGCTAAATCGTCAGATAACGTTAAAACAGTGATATAGATTATTTATGGTCGGCCGTCCACATTAATCCTGGAACTGACAGACAGCAACACCACAGATCTCCAGCTGAAAGGACCGTCAACATTGCATCTCCATCCACAACGGTTCATGGTACATTGTCCTGCCGCTCCATGCGCTTCTGCGGCTTCCCAGCGCGTCCCAGCGGCTTGTGTGCGTAAATCTCTGGACTGTAAATGAGTAAGATTCATGAAGCAGTTTCTTCCAGGAAGCGCTAACGCCGCAGGCGGAACGTTACTGAATGCAAGATGATGGTGAAACACATCCAGCGGCTAATTCAACTTCGGAACCAGAGAGATTTTGGCCAGAGGAGGAAACGGTGTCACCGCTCAGTGCCCACGGTTTGTCACTCCACAGATGCGGCGGATTGTTAAGTTACTTCTGTCTATTAGCCCTTCATGTCTTTCACATTATCACCTATTTTTATTCGTTTACGAAAAATATTTTAAAAAATTCCTCATAGTTGTCGTCGTCAACGAAATTAACCCTGGCTGTGGGGTCCGGGTGTTTGAAAGCATTTGAAAGACACCGAGTTAAATGTTTTTGTCTCTCTCTTGACCATTACAAAATATGTACAACACTTATTGTACACATGTTCTTTTCTGTCTCTGTGCGCGTAAACGTGTGTTTGTACCTGAAAGATCTCGAAGCCGTAAATGTCGAGCACTCCGATGTTGAGTTCCTCCTGGTCCTTCTGGATGGCTTTGTTAATACACTGAAAGACGCACACAAACACAACAATGAACCAAAGTGCAGCGCAAACCCAGGTGAAGTAAACAAGACAGTGTGCCGGTGGGAACTGACGTCGACCAGGAAGTCGAAGAGTCGGGTGTACAGAGCTTTGGACAGGGCGTCTCTGGAGAAACAGGCCTGCTCAGTGTTCAGGGTGACTGAGATGGACTCGGTCTTGCCGCCCCACTTACTGTCCATAATCCTGCTGGTCAGTTTACTGCAGAGACTGTTCTGAGGGATCCCCAACAGGTAGGACGGGAACGCCAGAACTGGTGGACACACACATTCAGTTTCAGCTTCAGTAAACCAAGTGTTCATCTGCCCAAGGCCCAACTTCATTAGCAGCACAAGGAGCAGCGGACCCATGTACGTGCACACAACTGGATCACCATGAGGCTAAAGGAAACTTAGAAACAGACCCTGCAGGACATTTCACTGAAACTTATCAGAGAACATGGTGTATCCCCATGTACTGTACTTTAATGTGTACTACTGTGTATAGTACTCTGTACTGTAGGTAGTCGTATTCTTACAGTCCTGGCTTTCGACCACAGCGTAGTTGTTTTCCTCTCTGAAGCTGATATTTCCCAGATGAAGGATTCCTGCAACAAGCTGAAGAACTGAGTCCTGGTCCTCCACAGTCAGACCCACTACTGACATCGCCGCCTGAGACACAGACACAGACATGGTGGGTACAGGCAGTTTACCAGACAGGCAGGCCCACTAGTGACATCACCCGAGGTGCTGTGTCCGAAATCACTCCCTATCTATAGTGTTCATCGTGTTGTAGTGGGGTCTGAGTGCATAGGGCACAGTACATGCCATGTCCCACAATGCAACACCCTTCGTTTTATCAGATGGAAAATTACAGTCGCACAGTTCTACAGATGTTAGTGATGACACCAAATGACATAAGTGTCAGTAATCCCAAATTTACTCTTCAGTCCGGAGTGGACATTATGCTGGAGCAGTGAACAGGGAGTGATTTTCGCCATCACTCTGATCAACACTTAACCCCCCATGATTGTATAACAGTACGACAGCCCTCAGTGCAGTACCTTGGAAATATACAGTACTTCTGTATATATCCTACTGGAAGACTGCATATAAACTGTGTGTATATATTAAGTACTTTTCCTAATGCACATTTCTTTTTCTTGTTTGCACATTATTTTTGCGCTCTGTCTTATCTTGCCTACTCGTTGCTTTACAGAAGAACACTGTACATGCACACTGAGCCGCTGTACCAGAGTCAAACTCCTCGTGTGTCCAACACACCTGGCCAGTAAATCTGATGCTGAAACACAGACACCAGTGGGTACAGACAGCTCAAAGGACAGAACCACTACTGACATTGGTCCCCGGAAACACAGACACAAGTACAGGTAGAGTCACAGATGGGTACAGACCATAGTATCAGAGAACTCCCTCTTGTCGTTGATGTCATCCACAGTGTAGGTTCCTGATTGGTTGAGGTAATAGTAGTAGTCGGCAGTCGTAATCCCGAGGTTCTCCCTCTGCTCTCTGCTGCCTCCGACCAGCAGCTGAGGACAGACATCAGGGGTTACAAAGAGTCAGAGGGGATGTTCATTAAACACATTTTCTGTTTAGACTGACTCAGAAATAGGATCTGGAACAGGCACAGATACCAAGTAAATCAGGATCGCGCACAGAATGAAGTCATGCTAGAGTGGGTTTGTGCGTCTTTGTGGGTCTCTGATTAACTTTCCAACAATAAATACAACTGGTCCATTGGATGCAAAATGAGAGCAAAGGCCTCGTGCTTGCAATTCAAAAGTTTTTGAAGTTGAACCATAAAGATTAGAAAAAGTACTTCAGACACTCTTAGGTGAAGCAAGGAACATGTTTAAAAGTCTTTATTAACTGGACATTTCAGTAAAAAACCCTGACAGGTTTCAACCTCACCAGGTCTTCATCAGGATGGAGACATAGTTTGCACCTGATGCTCTTTATGGGAAGTAATAAAATTACAAACACTACAGAACAGACACCACACTGGCATAAAGATATCAATATCATACAGAACTGTAATCCCATCAAAATAACATAAAACTGACAGAACTCACTCAGTGAGGATAATGCAAGAGTATAAAAGGGCTTGTAATCTATTTCTTATTACTTCAGCCAGTTTTTCCTGAGATGCCTGATTACATAATGGCTTAAACAGCGCCCTGGCTCCTTCAAAGAGTGCCTGAAGTATTTATTCCCTCTATTTTTCCTACGTGGTCCTCCATGTCCTGAGTCATATGCTGCAGCACCCAAGAGTAACCGTGGCAGTACATGCACCTGGTAGTAGATGTGGAAGCTTCTCTCCCCAGGATTCTGTGAAACAACTCGACTTTTCTCCAGTAGAAAGTTGGAGATTTTTCCTCCATCGGGAGCTCCTCCTCGACTGAACTGGATCTCAAAGTATTTACCCTAACAGAACATGGGGAGATCTGTCAGTCTGTGTATGTTTATGTGTGTATCTGTGGTATTTATACTCACAAATCTGCTGGAGTTGTTGTTGCGAACGGTCTTGGCATTACCGAAGGCCTCGAGCAGAGGGTTGGACTGCAGGATGATGTCTTTGACATGCTGCACACACAAACGTTTTCAGCAGCAGTAACCAGGGCAACAGCTGCAATACTAGTAGTACTACCACTACCATCAGTAGTACTCTGAGCAGTACATTGTGTACTGACCTGTACTTTGTCTCCACCTCCTGATACTTTGGACACATAGCTCATGATGTATTTGGCAGCAACAGTTTTTCCAGCTCCGCTCTCACCGCTGAAATAACAACAAAGATTTGAATGACAAAGACACAAGTGACAAAGATTCAGACAACAAAGAAACAGGCAACAAAGATTCAGATGATAGAGATTTGGACAACAAAGATTCATGAGACACAGACATAGATCTACAGTATTCTTCCACCAGTGTCAAATAAAAGGTTCATGGCTGCTTCAATGAAGCATCAGTATTAAGACAAATATCGACCTGATCTCACCATGAACTGAAACATCACTCTGACATTTGTGTTAATGTTGTTACTAGTTGCACAGCTGACTGTTGAATTCTGCTGTGAAACATTGTTTTGGTTTTTGTCTCCGTACATGCACAGGTAGCATTTGTACACCTGTGTTTTGGTGTTTATAAAGGGATGAACAGAGTTTTATCTTTTACAAAAATGTTTAGGATTAAAAAAAAAATCTGCCTTTTAAGTTTATGACATGAGAACATTTATTACAAAGTACATTTAATATCACACAGAGGTTAAACTGTAAAGTTTTACCTGATGATGACGCACTGGTTCTCGTTGTCTATCATCATGTTTCTGTACATGTTATCAGCCAGAGCGTAGATGTGGGGAGGGTTCTCGTACTGAGCCTGGGGTGGAGGTGGGGGTTAGTGATGTATTTAAAGTTTAATATCTGATTTGATGTTCATGTGTTGCTGCCTACCCACCGCTCCCTGATACAGCTCCACCTCTCGGTCACTGAAATATGGAAGCTGTTTGAATGGGTTCACAGAGATCAGAACTGGACCGATGTAGGTCTGACACCGGGTCAAGGATGAACCATAGGAACCAGAACCTGACCCTGGACTCATTAGACAAACGTCCTAAATGTGAACTACATCTCGTCTGTCTGTAAAAACCCTGAGTTTGGGTCTGAAGTGAACACACTGATAAATTCATTCTGCAGAGTCTCTGGGTTTAGAACCAGCCCAGGTCTTTGTGGACCCACAGTAACTCAGAGCCAGTAATTAATTCAATAATCTTATGAACTGACAGTCACAACTCCGTTGTTCTCAAACACTGCTCCTATTTAAATCAGCTGGTTCCAGACAGAACTGAAGTTGACACCACATGTTTCGTTACTTTGGACCCAGATCCAGATCACTGACCCCCCTCTGCTCAATACGTTCACCTGGAAATACATGTAGTCTTTGTTTGACCTAGGACAAATACAGAACATAATCAGAAGATTATTGGATTAGCCACATCGGCTCATCCTTCAGATGGTTACAGGTCCAGCAACAAACCTGCAGGAAAGTGACGTTTAACCTGCAGGCACATGGACGTCTTCAGCAGCAAACGTCCTGTGGAGCTGCAGTTTGGTATAAAACAGGCCAAACTGAGATCAGCAGCTACAGTGCTAATAATCAATGGATCAATGCCCGATCAAGGAGCTGCACACATGTGCACGTGAGCAGCAGCGTTTGAGGATACAAAGATGAAGTCGTCCATGTATCTCTTCTTCAGGTTGTCTGTGATGGCATCCTCGTTGATCTTGGGCAATAGCACCATGTCGTCCACGCCGCTCACCTTCACATTCTGAGCCTGCCAATGGTAACGCTCCTTACTGCCCTGTGGGAGAGGAGTCACACGTGGTTTAACACCTGCACAGGTGAGTCAGTGCAGCAGCACACTGAGCGTTGTTGTTGGTGTATCTTTATCTTGGAGGAGCTCAGACTCAGATCAGAAAACAAACACACTGACTCGTCTGGAAATGCTTGAACCTGAACTTTGGCTCCACCCTTTTTTGTTTGGATCCAACGCATCTCTGTGATCAGACCTGGGCAAGTTGTTCTGTGACTCTTCATCATAACAAATCGTCTTCAGCAGCTCGACTCTGAGCTGAATTTACTGTCATGCACCTGAGCTGTGGAATAAATGACCTCTGGATTTAAAACTGGCCGAGGCAGTTTCATATTAATTCTTTTATATGGGTTTTGCTTCATTAGTTTTTTCTGTCTCACATCCTGTCTTAAAACATGTCACGTCTGTTTAAATAAAGTTCAAACCAACATAAGCTCCAGTTTCCAGATGATAACAACAGTAAACTACCTTATTACATTTCATTAGGATTATGGCAGATAATTTATGTCTTGGTTTATTTCAGAACGGTTTTCTTTAAACAGCTGATTTTTAAATTAAATCAAACCAGTACTTTTAGAAACTAAATGTATGTGTGTGTAGAAACACCACATTTAAATGATCCGTAATTATTGGTAATAGATAATGTACATGGATCAGGCATAACATTATGACCACTGACAGGTGAAGTGAATAGCACTGACTGTCTGTTACAGTGGCACCTGTCAGTGTGTGGGGTATATTAGGCAGAAAGTGAACATTCAGTCCTCAAAGTTGATGTGTTGGAAGCAGGAAAATGGGCAAGTGTAAGGATCTGAGTGACTCTGACAAGGGCCAGACTGTGATGGTGAGATGACTGGGTCAGAGCATCTCCCACACTGCAGGTCTTGGTGGGTGTTCTTGGTTTGCTCTTCCTGACAGTAGAACTGTGGAAGCAAACAGATTCCCAGAAGATGCACAGTGAGCTGCAGAGCAACATGAGTGCCGACCAGCTGCCACACTGACTCCTTTGTAAACAGTACTGGGCAGGTGGTCATAATGTTATGGCTGATCAGTGTATCTTCACTAGCTGCTATTAGCATGCTAGCTCCTGCAGGTGATGTTCACTGTTACCTACTTTAAATGTCACCTGGTGGATTTAGTCTGAACATGAATGAACATGATGAGAGTCAACAGGACAGTCCGAGGACTCAGCCTGGACAGGAGGACTCACATGCCACTGTGTGTGTGTGTGTGTGTGTGCGTGCATGTAAGTGCACACGTGTTATCAGATGTTTGGCAGGATTGTGCCTCTTTGCCCTCATGAATTCCCAGCATTCCTCAGTCCTGTGGGATCTTGCCATGTTGAAGAACAGCAAGTGGCGACGCCCCAACATGCCAAGCTGCAGGACGTTGCATGTTATAGGGTGTGTGCGTGTACGGTCAGATCAGATTAAAGGTGCAGTTTACTGAGCAAACAGACTGAGTCAGTGTCAACACTAAGACTTAACAACATAAATCACAGCAGATCAATAACCCTATCTGTCAGTTACTGTTCTGATCTCTGTTTTAGTTCTTAAACAAGATCCCAAAAACTCATTTGCAGCTTGTTAAATATGAAGATTTTTTTTCTGACTCTTCCTGTGATGTTATACTGAAAATCTGACGTGAAGACACTGCTGAGACAAATTGAAACTGACATTTGACAAACCAAATAAACAATTGATGACTCGTGAAAATAACACAGGGAGCAGCTGAGGCCATCCACGGCTGGATTCACCTGTTCAGGCCTCTGTTGAGCCCCGGGCCCCTCCTGCATGGCCCCTGTGGTCTGTATTATTTTTAGGTCCTTAAACACAAGTTGACTGAAGCAGCTGCAGCTTGTCTGAGAACTTAAACTGAAAAAAGTTATTTTATCTTGTTTCCAATCACATTAATCTGCAACAAACGATGCATGATTAACAGACCTGAGGTCCACCAGCGGAGCAGGAGGTCTGCACAGTTACATCGTGTTCATGCAGGGTTTGGGCAATATTTGCAGTGTTTGTTATCAAGTACAGACTTTACAGTAACATTCAGACCAGCACACAGATACTGTAGTACTTATACTGCAGGTTAGTGTGTAATTTTGAAAAGAGAAACTCTTTTTATATAAAAACATGTCAGAAACAAGTCAAGATTAAGCCTTTATAATATTTTTCCCTCTTCACTGGTCTCAGCACTTTTCTGTCTGAGGACCTTCTGAGGGCCCCAGAACCACAGGCTGAACACCCGGCGGAGGTCGGACTGTCACGCTGTTTCCATGGTAACAGGCAGGAAACGTGTCCTAAAATCAAGTGATCTGATGTCTGATGGGACTGATTCAATTTCATTTTATTTTCATATTCATTTGATTTTTGTGGTTTAAATTGTTACTGTTTCCCCCCATTTGTCTTTGTTTTTGTCATTAAATCAATGTTATTTTAATTTCAATATATTTCATTTTATATTCATATTATGTTTAAATTAGTTATTTACAGGTAATTATTGACAGATTTCTTTATATATTTTGTTGATTGACCCTTTTTAGATTTATTTTTGGCGAGTTAAATATTTATGCATAAATAGTTTTATTTTTTGTATTCTTATATTTATTTTCACACTTTCTCTCCCACCTTGTAAAGTTCATTTCTTCTAACAGTAAAAATCAGGAAGTTTTGGTTCCAACAAGCAGCGGCACAGATCTGATCAGGGACCTGCTGCTGCACCAGCACCTGAGCTCATGGGTTTCATAGTAAACCTGGACCCTGCACAACCAGGACCAGGACCAGTTTTAATGTCTCTGCTTTTTAGTTTTAGAGTAACAGCCATGAGTGGACTCACCATGTCTGCTTCCCCTGCTCCCACTTCCTGCTTCAGGTAAATGTTGAGAAATCTTCAGTCAGTCTCAGGTGGGTCCAGGTGAACTCAAATTGAACCAGGACCAGTTCAGCCTGGATCAGGTCAGTCCAGTCCAGTCCAGTCCAGTGAACTCAGGCTGACTGTGAGGCAAACTCTCCACGTTTGTCTCAGTTTAACTACTCCCTGTTTTTCTTCCTTCAGTCTTCAGTCTTCAACTGTCTGCAGGTGTGGGCAGGTAAAAGCCCTGCCTTCTCTTTCCCCTGTGGAACTCTGGGTAATGTTGTCCTAGAGAAGCACAGCTGGCGCTCTGCTGCCCCCTGGTATCAGAACACAAGATTTCAGCAGAACAGTTTTAATGCTGTTCTATTCAGAGTTGAATTATTTTATTTTCAGTGAAAGAGACAAATGCATGTTTCTGCCTCGTGTGTAACACACATGTAAACATTAGTTATGATGATCTTCACACATGTCTGCATGTTGTTTATAAACCAAGGCAAACATGCATGAATGCTGCATGTTAGTGGCTGCACTGGGCGTCAGTTCCTTTCACTACTGGTCTGAAGAGTTTGCTGATTATGTGACAATCAGTTCTTCATTCATGTCATTTGGAAACATATTCCTGCACTTACTCATTTGATGTTTGTTTTTTTCCCAAGATTTACAAAAAACCCAAACTGGGAGCTGAACATCAAGTCATCACATTGTGTAAATGCAGCTGGACTTGATGCTCAGATCACATACGACAGACTGGACGCCTTTTCAACAGATTCAACCACAGTTTACAAAGAAAACAAGGACCGAGGCCCTTTTTACACCAGTTTCATTATTCTGCTGTTTCTGGCTTTTATTTGTTCTCAGTACTGTTCATGTAGTATTTTGTTTATGCTGAACTGTTTGAAAACAAACATTATTATTCCGGTTATTAGAAAGGAGTTTGTTCCTCGACCTTGGAGTACGGCTCCCTGCAGTCCTGTTGGTTTCAGTTAACCACTTTGTGGATACAGGTGGAGGCATGACGGTGTCCCTCTGAACTCTGTCCAGAAGCAGCCTAGTCCTGGTATGTATTTTGGCAAACATCTGCACATTTGATAAAATCCTGGCCTGTTCTGCATTGACACTGTTCTCAGCTCAGTCGAACCACAGCGTTAGTCACTTCAGATGCACATGAATCATATTTTTAATGGCAGTGACGTGGTCTTTACATTTAATAACGATCTTGTGTTTATAAATACCGTTTGTAGACTTATGATTCAATAAGGTTAAGATTAAACGGTTGTGTTGAAAACATCTCAGCCCAGATGTTTTAGACAATCGATATTTCTGCCTGACATCAGACTGAATAGAAACAATAAAGACTCTTATTATCTCTGCGACTTTAACATCATTAATGAGCCAGAATCAAAAATGAGAAACAACAGATCATCTGGCCAGTCAACACACACCCACTTGAACTACGCCGGAGTCCTGGTGACCATACTCGCGAACTGGTGATTTGTCCACAGCACAAACTGTGGCGGAACAAGTACTCAGATCCCTTAAGCAAAAGCAGCAATACAACTGCGTAAAAACACCGTTACAATTCCTGCATTCAAAATGTTAAGTACAAAAGTATTAGCATTGACACATACTGTATGTAAAGAACGACCCATGTCACATCGTCTCTGATACTACTGGATCCTACTGACTGATACATTACTGTGTTCATCACTTTAATGCTGCAGCTGGTAAAGGTGGAGCTGATGTTAACAACCTTATATACTTATACTGTGAAGTACTTTACATCCTGCTGGGTAGCTGGTGGATTTTGCAGTGGGGAATCAATAAAACCTTATACTGTATATGTTTACTTATAGTGCATTTTTGTATTAAACGAGTTTTAAAAAGTAACTCAAAACTGTACCCAAGTACAATACGCGAGTACATGTACTTAGTTACATTCCACCACTGTAGTGGAGCTGCAGGTTTCAGACCAGCTGCAGATCTTCACCTGTCGGACCAGGATGGCGTTGAGTCTCTTCAACACAAAGCAGTGAAAAAGATTTCAGGGATCCAATAATGAACAAGGACAAGTGCAGACTGTGGACACTAACGTCCCCTGAGAGACAACACAGATTTATTTTAATATTACCTACAAAAATAAAGCACATCTTTAGAAACATGTGCTCAGATTCAGCTCTCATCTACTTGCTCTCTATTGATCAACTGTTATTTGATGTTAGTGATCCTCAGCAAACAGTCAATCAGCTCAGGGTGAAGAGGTCAGGAGCACAGTAAGCGAAGCTCAGAAGGATGGCTATGTCAGAGTGAGGTCGGGGTATGACTGAGTAACCTGACACACACAGACAGGAAGGAGACGTCCAACAGTCCGCTGCGTTCTCTCTCTGCAGCCTTTGGACACATTTCTGGTTTTAAACAAAGGACGAAGAGCTGAGCGCTCTGAGAATGAACTACAACTCCCAGAGCCCTTCGCATTAATAAACCTCTAAACATGTAAACAGCTTCATCAGAACAACTGTAGTTCTTTACATATTCATCGGAGTTTGACTTCAAATCCAGCCGAACCTGCTGAGGAGGAGTGCATGATGGGAGCTGGAGTCTGAAAACAGAATTGTCCTTCACTCTGAAAGTCAGTGGTTCACGTTCACTAGTGTCCTGAAGTCGATTATTAAACCGAAGTTGATCATCAACCTCATTAAACTTGTGGGGGTGAAATGTGTCTAAGGGACTTTATGGACACAAACAGGTGTGATGAAGATGTTTGTTAATGTTGTGCACACGAACAAAGCTTTTGTAAACAACAAGGAATAAAAAAATACATTTCTGCAGACTTCAGTGGCCTCATAGTTCACATGAAAAACAGGAGCACAGAGCAGCTTCAGTTCAGTGGTTCAGTTCTCATTGGCTGAGAGATTTAAATTCACATATTCAAACATGAATTGTGAGTAAAGTGTGGGTTACGCTGTAGGTCTGTTAAACACACGGATGTCGAGGAGCTGCAGCTGTTGACGAGATGACTAGTCGGCTTCTCACACCGCCTTCTACTTGCTGCCCTGTGAACTCCATGACAGCTGATTTATTCTAATGTCCTGTTTCAGAGCTTCTCCAAACTGATGATGTACATTTGGCCAAATACAAGTTTTTAACTGGAGAATGTAAAATACTGAAGACAGGTGAAATGAATGAGCTAAAATACATATCTATTTATAGACCTGGCTCAAATCTTTATCTGCCAGGTTTGGGATGTACCTCTATATCGTCCCTAGGCTATAAAATGCTTGTTAAACCAAATAATGACTGCAGTGTCGGGCTCAACATGTAGCTTCAGTTGTTCTGACTCCCTCACATCTTCAAACCTTCAAATGAAATGATATGGTAACCTGTGGTTACCACCAGCAGACATTCAGCTGGTGACACTGGTTTGTTTTAATGATGAGCTGGTTTACTGGAAGTGCAGTTAAAGGACTAAAGCATGAAAGAGCCATATGGTCCTTTAAAGAGTCAACTGTGCTCTGTCCACCCAGAATGTGTCCTTCAGTTCATCTTGTGCTTCCCGTTCCTGCCTGTGTTCACATTTCAGTCTAAAACTGCTGCTCTCTGATTGGCTAAGAGTTCGGAGGAGCAGTCAATAAGGGACAACTGCCCAAATACAGAAAGAAAACGAACAAGACAAACAGAAAAAAACTCCTCAATCCCGATGACGGACAAAGAGGAAGAAGAAAAACCTGGAATCAGAATAAAGCAATGACTTCAGTGTCTGAAGAGTCTCATCAGTCCGTAGAAGGGCTCTGCACAGAGTTCACATGACATGGATCACATGATGCCGTTGGTGAGGTACTGGAAGCCATCGTAAAGTTTGGTGGTGAGTGACCGCATTGATCCATCCACCAGCTGATTGATCAGCACCTGTAGCTGCTCCTCCGTCAGACTCATGTGGAAACGCTCCTTCAGACCTCGCATGGTGCTGGAGCCGTGGAAGCAGGGCAGCTGGGAGCCTGGGGGCACAGGGGGGGATCAGTGTCAACTATAGACCGTTGTGCATCACCTGAACTCACCACTGGTTAACACACTGGATTGTGCTATTCATAGTCAGACCTTACTACATCTCGGAGACAAATATTGTACATTTTCTTTATTGATCCTTGGTGTGAAATCCACCAGCTACCCAGCAGGATGTATAGTACTTCACAGTATAAGTATATAAGGTGGTTAACATCAGCTCCACCTTTACCAGCTGCAAAATTAAAGTGATGAACACAGTAATGTATCAGTCAGTAGGATCCAGTAGTATCAGAGATGTTAATGTGACATGGGCCATTCTACAGGATGAGTACTGGTACTGTTGGTACTTATAGGATATTCAGATGCTGATACTTTTGCAACTTTGACTTGTAACAGCATTTATACACTGTGGTACTGCTGCTTTTATTGAAGTCAAGGATCTAAGTACTTCTTCCACCACCTCTGACATTCACCAGTTTTATCCTTTTTTTCCCTTTGGTCCAAATGAAATCCAGGACTGATGCAGAACCGTGCTTCAAAGTCCTGAACAGACCTTTCTCCACATGGGGAAACAACTTGAAGCAGCTGCAGCTGAATGAATCTGGAACTTAAATATTATGCAGGTATTTCCCTGCAGTGACAATGATTCTTAATATAATATCATTAATATTAATCATTAAACACAATCTGGCTTCGGACAAGCAGCAGAAACTGGATCAAGGTCAAACTTCATGAGGCGTTCCAGCCAGCAGCTCACCACACTCTGTGTGTGGGTGTGTGTTTATTTACCCTGCTGCATGATCTCCACTATCTGCAGTACTCGGTCCATGTGTTTCTTGGCTGCTATCAGACCCTGCAGCATCAGCATCTTGTAGTAGTTAAACATGTCTCCGTCTGGGCCGCCCATCACCTGGCACACACAGAAACAGACACGGTAAGCTGTCCAGAAACTTCCAGGGGTTTTCAGACGGCTTAGGTGCCGACTTGGTACTTGGGGGAGGGGGGGGAGAGACACTTTTATTATTATTCTTCTAGTATTAAGTTTTATTTTATTTGTGAAAGCTGGCAACACGTTGTACTCAGTTAAATGTCTATTCATTTCAAAAATAACATGTTTGAGACTTGATGAAAATGTATGACTAACGTGCACAGGTGGGCACATTTTACATTTATTGTGCTTAGGCGCAGCACCCGAGTCTTTCTATTGAAGGGGGGACTCTGACATCCAGCAAAATCATCTCGGAGACAAATATTGTACATTTTCTTTATTGATCCTTGGTGTGAAATCCACCAGCTACCCAGCAGGATGTATAGTACTTCACAGTATAAGTATATAAGGTGGTTAACATCAGCTCCACCTTTACCAGCTGCAGAATTAAAGTGATGAACACAGTAATGTATCAGTCAGTAGGATCCAGTAGTATCAGAGATGTTAATGTGACATGGGCCGTTCTACAGGATGAGTACTGGTACTCTGGCTACTTATAGGATATTCAGATGCTGATACTTTTGCAACTTTGACTTGTAACAGCATTTATACACTGTGGTACTGCTGCTTTTACTGAAGTCAAGGATCTAAGTACTTCTTCCACCACCTCTGACATTCACCAGTTTTATCCTTTTTTTCCCTTTGGTCCAAATGAAATCCAGGACTGATGCAGAACCGTGCTTCAAAGTCCTGAACAGACCTTTCTCCACATGGGGAAACAACTTGAAGCAGCTGCAGCTGAATGAATCTGGAACTTAAATATTATGCAGGTATTTCCCTGCAGTGACAATGATTCTTAATATAATATCATTAATATTAATCATTAAACACAATCTGGCTTCGGACAAGCAGCAGAAACTGGATCAAGGTCAAACTTCATGAGGCGTTCCAGCCAGCAGCTCACCACACTCTGTGTGTGGGTGTGTGTTTATTTACCCTGCTGCATGATCTCCACTATCTGCAGTACTCGGTCCATGTGTTTCTTGGCTGCTATCAGACCCTGCAGCATCAGCATCTTGTAGTAGTTAAACATGTCTCCGTCTGGGCCGCCCATCACCTGGCACACACAGAAACAGACACGGTAAGCTGTCCAGAAACTTCCAGGGGTTTTCAGACGGCTTAGGTGCCGACTTGGTACTTGGGGGAGGGGGGGGAGAGACACTTTTATTATTATTCTTCTATAAGTTTTATTTTATTTGTGATAGCTGGCAACATGTTGTACTCAGTTAAATGTCTATTCATTTCAAAAATAACATGTTTGAGACTTGATGAAAATGTATGACTAACGTGCACAGGTGGGCACATTTTACATTTATTGTGCTTAGGCGCAGCACCCGAGTCTTTCTATTGAAGGGGAGACTCTGACATCCAGCAAAATGCCTGGAGTCTCCTCAGTGGCCACTAAATCCTTCTAAATGCCAAACACAGAACTGCTCAGTGACCACTGGAACCCCCAGAATAATCATTTTTAACTAGTAAAAGGCCACTAGACCCTTATGAACCACTACAACAACTAGCAGAACCCCTTAAAGGACCCCTCCAGAGGCCACTACGGCAAAGATGTCATGTCTGAAGAAAGACCAGCAGTGACCAACTCACATCTACGAACTCTGTGGTGAGTTTGAAGGCAGAGGTTTCGAAGCCGAGGTTCTTGGGTGAACTGGAGAGGATGAAGCCGAAGTCAATGTGGATGATGTGACCTTCAGCATCCAACAGGATGTTCCCATTGTGCCTGAGACAAGAGATCAACAGAACACCGTCGCTGGACTAAACAAGACTCTCAGTTACAGTAAGTTCTGCAATAAATCACCATTTCAAAAATCAGACATTTGGTCTGTCAAAACCAGCTGGGACGGACAGGTGAAGCTGCATACGTCATGTCTCACCTATCTTTGACCTGCAGCAGGTAACAGATGAGGCTGTACCCAGCGCAGCTCTGGACGAAGTTCCTCTGAGCGGAGAGGAAGGCCTCAGTGGTTGGAGCTCCGTGCTCCTGCAGGAAGTAGTCGAGTAGGGACAGCTGACTCTGTTTCTTCACCTGATGGAGCGACACAGCATTCATCACGGGCTCGATCATCCCGCTGTCCGACGACAACACCAGGATCTCGTAGGGCTTTATCCAGAGGGGGACACGCTCCTGCTCCCAGATAGACTGCAGGGGCAAGACAGAAGACAGGTGAGCTTACAGTGTCTCATTGGTCATATGATGTCTGTGAACGTCACGATGTTACCTTGAGCTGCTGCAGCACCTGGAAGGCGAGCAGCTCCTGCCTCAGGTCGTCTCCACACTTAACAATAACAGACAACAGCCTCCACTGAGGAAGGTGACCGTACGGAGAGCCTTCTCTGATCCTCCTGCAGGGAAGCACAGTCTGATGGTTACACTACAGTTGGAGAGACAGGCTGAACTCAGGAATGAAGTTGCTGCTAGTTAAACCCTAACAGCAGGTGACTGTCTCCTGGGTAGTGAAGTCTATTTATATACTGTGAACATGACATTTTCACAGAGAGGATAATTTCTTTTGACTGTGACGGATGAACTGTATATGAAAAATGGAAGCTGAAGCAAGAAAAGCTCCAAAGGTTTTGAAAGCTGGAGAAAGAAATGTTCATCGGTGAATTTTCATCAAAGCAGCTCAAATGCTCGAGTGTCCCTGAAGGCAGCATCACATACCGGACCTTCTCCTCCCAGGGCTCCTTCAGGGCCACCGCTGATGGGTCCTCAGGGTCCCGTTTAAAGGTGGTGGGGGCCTGGGCTAGCTGCTCTGACAGACGCCGCCTACACCAGAAAGCCAGAACATTATACAGCTGTTCATAAAGTGGTTCTGCAGAGAGAAACGTACTGATGACAGTACCTGCCGCTCAGGTGTTTTACAGTGTAGACATGCAGCACGTGTACCTGATGTCTCCCGCAGCGATGAACACGGGCTCTTTACTCTCCAGGCTGGTGATGCTGTCCACTGAGAACTGACTGATGTTGTCACAGCTGTTGGTATGGACCTCAGGGAGCTGAGGGACATGAAAACAAAACATCCATTATTAAACCTGCACCTCCCTGACGAAGGATTCATGTCAGTACTAATGAATGACTAAAGTAACATTACCTATTTTCTACTGATTAAGTTAAATTAATGCAGCATGTAAATCCAAGTAAGTATACAATAGGCTCTACACAGCAGCGGAAAACGTGTACTTTTCTGTTTGCGGATTGCTTCAAACGCCTCAAACTCAAGTGAAAAGGTGTGAAAAGGTTTGTTGGCTTGATCATCTAATGAGGTTTCATCTTTGAATGATTTTATAACAAGAACAAAAAACAATAATAGACAACAGACAATAATAATGCAGAAAACCAAAGACTTTGATTTCGGGACAATCCACATTCAGCTCATTTTGAGACGATTTTGATTTGATTTATTCTTTCAAGCATGTAAAGACAGTTGATATGTCAACACATAATTTTACACATATCCAACAAATGCTAATCCAATATCAATTTGCTTATACCTAGTACATGCTTGAATGGAGTAGGAAGAAGTCAGACTTATCCAGTCCTACCCCATAACATCATCTTACCATCATTGGTTTGCAAGCAGTATCTCTACATAAATAATTCTCTTCTACACCACACAAGTAATATACTAAAAAATTATAACAGAGTGTTAACATTCTTACATAATTACATTCTTAAATA